TTTTAATTAAAAAATTCAATTCTAATAATAATTTTAAATAATAGTTTTTCAAAAGCACACCGTGTTACAATAGAATCTCCATATAATTTAAAATCAATATTTCTTCTAAACTAGATTCAGTTACTGCAAGGTAAAACAAAATGAACTGGTGTAAAAAGTGCAAAACAATGCAAAAAAAGTGCAAAGAATTGCCGCACAAAATCACATAAGCAAAAAACTTTAAAAAATTAAACTAGAAATTTAAAAACAAAATCAAAATGAGAACAATTCCAAAAATACCAAATAAATCAAAACTGAACAAAAACAAAACTCGAATAAATAAACCTTTTTTATTTTAAAAATAAAAACAAATGGATTTTAAATTTCCTGAAACATTTTCATCAAGGGGGGGGGGGGGTTCATGGCTCGAGAAATAAAAAAATTAGCCTGAGCTAACAAACGCACAATTCAGAAATTTAATATTTAGAAACTAAAATTGATTGGGGGAAAACAAATTAAATTATGAAATTAATAGCCCAATCCCGACAGACCAGAACTAAAAAACAGCACTTGTTTTTTAAATATAAAAATATAGTAGTGTAAATCATAAAATGAACACATCAAAAAATTTTAATACAATCAAATTAAAACTATTGTAGTTACATAAAAAGAGGGTGAACATTTTTTATCTTAAAAGCTTCTTAAATTCTTAAAACAAGAATGTGGCTGTATTCTTACAAATCCAATGATAAAAAAAGTAGTTATAATTACAGTTGCACACGTTTTTATTGGATGAGAAAATAAAGAGACAGTAAAGTCATAAGTCTTGAAACTAAAATATGCCTAAAGAAGCAGAAATTTTTTGTAAATTATTCAAAATTATTCCAAAATTATAAGACTTAAAAAATCTGAATTATTCAACCGTGAATATAAAATGCAGGCTACACTCTTAATAGGTGCAGCTTTCCATGCAAATCAGCAGTTTGACTGTGTAAATATAGATTGAGACATGAAATTTAAAAATGCAACTACTTTAACTGAAGGGAAAACATCTGAAACTATATTACAGCATAGAAGAGTAGAACATCGTGGTTATAAAAATACTGCTATCTAATGGTAAGAAGATTCTTGATTATTGTCTAAACGACGATTCTGTGAAATATCTTTGCTTTCTAGACAAAAAAAGACAAGGCAAATACAGTACAAAGTCTGTAACCCGGACTCGTCGGGACTTTGGCGATTCAGATTAGGGGTTTTTCCGGATTATAGATCATCAATTTAAATCTGGTAAGATGGCATGCAGAAATTATACAATTAAAAATATGAAACCGTAATTTATGAAATAAAGAGCAATTATGATCTAAAGGGTATTCCGTATAATGGACGTCCGGATTACAGACTTTGTACTGTAATCCATACTGATGTGTATTAGTTTTAGTTAAACGAATTTCTTTACTCCCGCAAATCCAAGAGAAGCCGCATTTTTACTCGTCAAGAACAAGGGCTGTGGTGTCGGTAGGGAAACCAACTCCGACTCCTGGAATTTTAAGACTTCGACTGCCTCATATATATATATGTGTGTGTGTAAACATATACACATGGGTTACAGCTTACTTAATTAATATAAAAGAAGTAATAGATGCTACAGAAAAATATTGATGGTATAGCAAGTTATTTATATTAATTAGCATTTATTATGAAATGGAAAAACTGGCATTAGTTATTTCTAAGAAACAGCTTGCTTCGGCAAGATCTTTGTTGGAGGACCAAAGATCAGATTTAATAAACTTCAGAGCTGAGAAGAACCTTTCCACACTGTCTTGATTAAGAGGAAGAGCTGTTACTGTGAGGACTTACTTCTTTTAGCATTTCAGGATAGAGTTTTATGAGCTCTAAAACAGGTGTCTTGCAAGAGCAATCATATTTCTTTATTTCTTCAAAGGCCGTGTAGAAATCTTGTTTGTATTTCTTCGTTTTCATATCTAAAGGCTGTTGGTTCTTTATTTTCATTCGCTTTGCCTAAGCCTTTTCAATATTATCCAAAAATATTTCTCAAAATCTAATTCATCACTGAAAGAGGATGATGTTGCAATGTCTGCAGTTTGACTGTCCTGATTTGAATATTCCAATTGTTCTGAAAATAATTTCATTCTTATTGAAAGTTCATAGATGGCTTATAGGTACTGAACCCAGCAAGATCTCATTGTCTAGGAAACTAGTTTCTTTTTTTCTTTATTGAAGAAATGATTCCTTCTGCAATTAACCCTTCATTTCACAGAAAGAACAAACATCACATTCTTCCATTCTAGCCTCCTGTTAATTCTTCAGATTGTAGGTATTTTGTGGCTATATAAGGTGTGGAAAGAAGAGTTTCCAATTCTGAATGTTCATTCCACAGTCTTTCTATTAGTGAAACATTAGGGTTATCCGCATCTTCTAAAAACGTTCTTAATTCTAACAATCTCTATATTATCAAGTATGCATTTCCTCATCGCATTGCTTGATCAATAATTGCTCCTTTCTCTGCTCGCTTAGAAAGTCCTCCACGAAGGCATCCCTCCCTTTAGGCAAATAGCCCTCGTGTGCTTTGCCATATTTGAATAAACCCCAGACCCTTTTTCCTTCTCGCCTCCTAAGAATGGCATCAATTTTGGGAGTTCTTGCTGCTATTGCTGCTTACCTAAATTTACCAGTCAGATTTGTAACTAAATGAATCGGTTTAATCAATAAATTACACAAATATCACATCCATCCTTTTCCCTTATATTTATTTATTAATATGTCAATAAAATAGAAAATGACTATTTATTAATGTATATAGTTCATAAATAAAAATAACAACTCAGTTTGTCATTAATTTTTTTAATTCGCTTTAATTTCATTTCAAATTCAAACTGTCCAACAAAAACTGGAGTCGGTCTGTTTTAACGACGCCAGCTCCAACTCCTTTTACCCCAAAATCTGCCCAACTCCGACTCCACAGGCCTGTTAAGAACTACAACTGATTATATTTTCAAGAGAAATTAATTTGATGCCTCTTTCTATTTTGCCGTAAGTTTTTTAAATAAAATTGATTTTATTTGCAAATTCCCTGCTTCGTGTTCTTCCTTTCATTTAAGACTAAATCGTGTCCACGATAAGTGGACGATGCATAAGAATTTTCAGTTGTATACTAAATTATAAAAGTTCATATACAAAAAGCTTCTCTGTACAGTAAATTAATTATTAAAAATCATTTTTCTTAGATTTTGTAATCAGTTAATTCTTGCGTATGCTGTTGTCTGCACCAATAATAAAATCTAATGGTTTTAATCAAACTTTGCTTTAATCTATAAAATTGTAAGCCTCTTAATGTTTTTTAATTTGTTCAGATTTCACTATACTTTTTAAATATTTTGATTTTTTTGTCCATGCCGTCATAGACAGAAAAATATCAAAGAAAATGTGTGAAACATTTAAAGTTGAAATTCACGTCAAAGAAAATATAGAAACGTGGAGCTTTTAAAGATGAAATTCTTTTAGAATTAAATTTTAATTTTATTCAACAACAAAGACTTGATTTTATGAGCTAGCAGTAGTAGATATTATTTTTATTTGAAAAGAAGATAGCATTTTGTAGTCCATTTAAAGCACAATCGCTCAATAATAAATGTGCTTTTTATGCCAAAGGAAGAGATGGCCGAGAAGAGTTATTAGTCTCAAAACGGCATTTTGTGGCGTTTCACTATAAACGTCGAATCACTTCGTAAATTGTTGCCACTAAATATTATCACCCTGTATTATATTTAAAGAAATTTAATAATGAAGAATCTACATGAATATAGGTATGTTTCTCGCATTATGAAAAAACGACGGAACCTAGAGTCATCCAATTTTGAATAATGTAATCCTCCACCCGAACATGAACACTGAATTTTGAATTTGTTTTATTATCTATTTCATATTTTATAAAACTTTAACGAATTTTTTATTAACGACCTCAGCGATTTCAAAGCGAGCAATGGCAATACTTGTACGCAAAAAGCATTTTTATCTCCAGCGTGCGATATTGTCTATCGGAAATTCTAAAGATGTGTTGTTTTTAAATATTTCGTGATATTGCTGTTAAATTGAATTTTATATGGTTTAAGTGCGAGGAACATGATATTTAATAAATAAAGGTAACACACAAAACGTTTAAAAAAAAAGCCGCTCCTTTGGGCGTAATACAAAATCTGAAAGCTTTCAGATTTTCTATTATTATAATTATTATTAGTTCAAAGAGGTTTTGTCCCTGAAGGACTATTGTTTTCGTTTTGCAATTTTGCGTTGTTTCACTATAAATGTTCGTTTAACTTTTGTCACCAAATGCATTACGTCCTGCATTATGTTTGAAGAAATTAAATAATCAAAAATCTGCATAAATGTATGAATATTTCTTGTATTGTGATAACACAACGGTACATAGAGGCGTCGAATTTTGAATGACGTAATCCTACTGCGAATATAGGCATGTGGAAGCCGAAATTTGGAATTTTATTATCAATTTCATATTTTGTTAAATTTTAACGAATTTTTGATTAACAAACTCAAGAATTTCAAAGCGAGCAATGGCAACGTTGTACGGAAAAACATTTTTTATCTCCAGCGCGAGGGACTCTGTATCGGAAATTTTAAAGGTATGCTCAATATAAAACTATTTTGCAAAATTGCTCTTGAACTGAATTTTATGGTTTAAGTGCGAAGAACGTAATATTTAATAAATAAAAGCAACAGACAAAATGTAAATAAAAACTTCCCTTTGGACGTAATTTAAAATCTGAAACCTTTCAGATTATCTTTTCTCTTTTTTTATTATTTTTTATTTTTTAAGACTTAAATAATAACATTTAAAACTACTAATCAGTTTTCAAAAATTGCGCCAAAGTAAAGAAGAACTAAAACTGTATATTTTCAAATTGCAGAATTTTGCGTTAACTTAATTGCTTGCTGAGAAACTGTGTAATATTAATATTTGAATCAAAAAATCAATAAAAAATTACCTTGTCGTTGGATTCTGGTTGAGACCGTTATCCAAAGTTAGCGGGCAAACTGTTGTAAAAAAGATTTTACTGCTTTTTCCAAGTATTCTTATTTCTTCTTCAATAGCTTCCATCATACCATGCATGGCAAACTTCGATGCACTACATTTAAAAAATTAAAAAATATATACATTTCCACAAATTTAATACAATTAAAACGAATGGAAACCTTTCAGAATTATTACTTTTACCTGTAATCTGACATGTACAGCCATCCTAATAATCCAGCTATAGAAGAAATAGCTACGATGTGCCCCTTCTCCATTTCCAACATCTTAGGGAGGAAAAACTTGTTCATCTGAAAAATTACGTTAGAAGTGAAATTATTATAGTTGTTCGAAGGCATTCATTTTATTGCAAATTTATCATGATAAGAATTTATATTAAAACCGCGATTCGTTTATTAGTTAAATAGAAATTTATTTAACCGAATCTGTATTTTAATAGGAAAAAAGACCAGTGTCCAAAATATGCATCAGTGTGCATATGTCACAATTATTTTCTCCCTCCTTCCAGTATACCTTCGTAGTGTAACGGTAGCACACTCGGCGTGTATTCGAGAGGTCCAGGTTCGAGTCCCGGCGGGGGCATTGCACAAAAAAATATCAGATTCGATTGTTTTTAACACTAGCATTTTTGCTGCCCACATACGGGTATATATAAATTCAGTTTTCTCCCTCTTTTCAGCCCTCTCTCCCCTTTCTTCTTAGAAAAGGGTGAAAATTGGGGAAAAAATGCAACAGTCTCCGGCAAATGCAAATGGATGGCATCCATGAGCATATAAGTTAATAATACTGTAGCTCTAAAAATTAGCAACGCCTTCGCCAGGAATCGAACCGCAGACCTCTCAATTACGGGCTGAGTGTGCTGACCACTACACCACGAAGGCTCGCTAAGAAGGCGGGAGAAATACCTTTTATTGTAAGGTTTTCTGTGGTGCTATTGAGAAAAACTATATCTTGATGGACGATAAAGCCAGGCCAAAAAGCTCAACTGATCGACGATTTTCTGATGGAAGAAGTTATTAGTAGTACAGTATTGGCAGAAAAGTTACCGAATCTAAATTGCTTATAACGTGTCGACCTCATTTATAGTATGAGGGTCCACTGGGAGGCATATAAATCTGCGGCGTGGAGCACATTCTTTGTTAGCCAGATTGTTCTGGAAGTAGGAGGTGTCATATTTTGGCCGTTTTTGGTTTCATCTGCAAATCATAAACATCTACCTCTTTTATTTTGTTACCTCATCGTACTGGACATCTGTGTCCAAAATTCCATTACAATAAATCATTTATTTTTCCAGATATTATGTATGTTGTGTTTGTAACTTTAGACACCAGTGTACGAATGATTTATCAAAAAATTGGTTTTTTAATTGTCTCTAGGCCAACTATTATGTTAAAAAAAAAAAAATCAGTGATTTGTTTTAATTTTCCCTGAACTTGCTAAAATGTGTTCAATATGCTGCCCAACCATCTTCTGCAACAGCTGAAATCCCAAAACAGCATGTTCAAAGATAGATCAGATTGCATCCATGCTGATATCGTAAATCTGGTGCGTACTAAGCCATGTTTTCAATTCAGCTAAATGTGTACTAATGAAATGCAATTTTTTCCTTGCAGTTATTACAAGTCGAAGTATTTTGTGCCAAGGTTAGTTTCTGAATCGCGCTCCAGCACCTTCAGTTTTTAAAAAATGCTGTATCTCTTGTTCATGTTTGGTTGAAAGATTGGATAGCTTAATATTATAGGAATTAATATGTAAACAAAAATTTAATTGCTTTAAAGGCTATCCTACATTTAGACCTAAGATTCTTTATTTCTAAAAGTTCGAAATACTGCCTTATTTAAATTAATATCACAAAGACCAAATTTTAAAATATAAAAGTTATTAACAGAGACAAATTTTAAAATATAAAGTTATTTATTAAAAAAAAATAAAGTAAAATTTTCTTGGTGAAGAACACATTTTGAAAAATACTAGCATTACGTGAATTTTTATATTATATTAAACATACATACCCAAAAATGTGCTAAAAGGTTGACTTCTATTGTTCTTCTGATTTTATCACAGTCTAGGTCAGTGAAGAACACATTATGGAAAATACCGGCATTGTTGACTAAGATAGTGACGTCACCCACCTCACCCTGCACGAGCTTGCCGACATGTTTTACATGGTTTTCATTGCTCACATCACAAACGTATGAACGGGCTGATCCTCCGCGTTCACGTATTTCGGATTCCACTCCCAGGACACTTTTCTGAAATAAGAAAATACTCCTTATTACAAATATAAGTATTTAGACAACATGTGATACCTTTATCTCATTACTTTTCTTTTAGTCTCCACAGCATAAATCTAAGCCCATCAGGGTACACCTTGATAAGACATCGTCATCTAAAGGAGGAAAGCTGAGCTTTACAGGATGATTATAATTAAAGTCCTGCTTTCAAGAGAATGTAAAAAAGAAACTACTGATCAGAATGACCTAAACGTACGTGAAGCGATGGGAATTTGCGAAAGAAAAATGTAGGTCGACATTTTATCAAAAAATTGGTTTTTTAATTGTCTCTAGGCCAACTATTATGTTAAAAAAAAAAAAAAATCAGTGATTTGTTTTAATTTTCCCTGAACTTGCTAAAATGTGTTCAATATGCTGCCCAACCATCTTCTGCAACAGCTGAAATCCCAAAACAGCATGTTCAAAGATAGATCAGATTGCATCCATGCTGATATCGTAAATCTGGTGCGTACTAAGCCATGTTTTCAATTCAGCTAAATCGCGCCACTGGAAACATTTTTCAGATAACCCTCAAACCACAAATCATAAGGATTAAGGTCAGGTGATTGTGGCGCCGAGGCTGTTGGAAAATGACGGCTTATAATTCTGTCATTTCCAAAATGGATATTCAGCAGCTTCGTCTTGCAATGTGCTTAGGAGCGCCATCTTGCATAAAAATTGTGCTTTGCTCTCCAAAAATTCGTATCATTTGTACTCGACGTTAAAGGTCAGAGGTGGGGAACATTTTTACCATTAGAGGCCACATTTAAATTAGGAAGTAATATAGGAGGAGGCCACATAAGCTGATACTGACCTATAAATGCGACTTTTGTGAAATTATTATAGTTTTATCAATGTATTGCATTATATATAAATAATACAAAAAACGTTATTTATTTAGTTATACATCAAGAAAGCTCTGATATATCTTCAAATATGGTTTAAATACCAGTTTCAAGGCAGAAGTATGCTCGCCAAAATCTGAAAATGTTTCAGTATATTCTTCTATAAAAAAATTCAAGACACTTACACGTTCATCGAGTATTTTATTTTCACATTTCTGTTCATTCAACATTTTTGCTAGTTCCGAGAAGTGTTCTCCAGATATATCCGAGCGAGAAAGCAATATTTTGAAATAATGTTGATTTTTTCGAAACGATTGGATCTTTTACCACATTCCAAATGCATATTTTATTAGTCCAAAGGGGCAATTTGCCCAGAAGGACTATTAATTTCATTTTGGCATTTTGCATTGATTCACTACAACCATTGTTTCACTTTTCAAATTGTCACCAAATATTATCGCCCCGTATTATATTTAAAGAAATTAAATAATGAAGAATCTGCATAAATGCATGAATGTTTCTTGCACTGTGACAAAACAACGGTACCTAGAGCCATCAAGTTTTAAATAACGTAATCCTACTGCGAATATGGGTATGTGGAAGCCCAAATTTTGGAATTTGGTTTATTATCGATTTTATATTTTGTAAAACGTTAACGAGTTTTTGATTAAAACACTCAAGGATTTCAAAGCGAGCAATGTCAACGTTGTACAAAAAAAAAAAAAAAAAAAAAAAAAAAAAAAAAATTCTACAGCGTGGGAGACTGCGTATCAGAAATTCTAAAGATATGCTCATTTTAAAATTATTTTACTATATATTGCTCTTGAACTGAATTTTATGATTTAAGTGCGAAGAACATAGTATTTAATAGATAAAGGTATAACAGAAAATGTTTAAAAAACGCCCGTTTGGACGTAATTTAAAATCTGAAACCTTTCAGAGTTATTATTATTATTATTGGTGTGCGTGTTCTTAAATAGATTAATTGAGGATCAGGAAATATGACTGGATTCTTCTCAACCCTGGCGTGCTATCAGTGGGTTTAACAGAACAATCTGTTAATGATGTCTCTATTTTCTTTGGTGTTTGATCACTTTATAATTTCTCGCCTTTTGAAACAATTTTGTAGTCAGTTATCCAGAAACCAGTTTCTGATTACCCAAAAGTCACTACACCAAATATATAACTTTATTATTTAGGTACAATCAACAAATCACTGCGTCAATTCTAAGAGAATCGTTACTACAGGGTGGTTATAATTAAAGTGACTGTACTCAGGCCTAAGTAGAGTCAACTACAGTTGGTGTACTTTGAAACTTTTTATATATGTTATATGGACCATGGAAGGAATAAAACTGCTATAAAAATATCAGCTTAAATTTCGACTACTACGCATAAAGAAGAAGATTAATGTATAAACTTTATATTTATGTATTATACAGGGTGTACCGTAAAGGTTGCGACAAACTTCTAGGGGAGGTAGGATACATCATAAGGCTTAAAAATTGCATAGGAACCCATGCCCGGAAATGTCAGGGGTAAGTGGCATGTAGAGGTAGAAGATGGGAAAAGAAACAAGAGTAATTAATTTGAAACATTTATTGAATATGAATACAAATGGTGCACGACAGCTTGAATGTTAGAACAGATGCTTGAAGTTTGCACCATCAGACTCCAAATATACCTGTCACCAACGGACCATTGATTGCCGGGCATATTCAAACAAGCCGGGAGATCCTTTGATTGTAGCAGCTGGGCAGGCGAATCTTGCCACGAGATCCATTTCAGACACAACAGGATCGTGATACACGACACTTTTGATACTACACTAGCATACTTCGGAGTATGCTACGCATGTTTCATATTTCATTTTGAGTTTCTCTAATTATCGGAACTACTCTTAAACAACAACAACAACGAACAAACAAAAACAGAATTTGGGGTGTGAAGAATGTAATGGGAAAAGGGGGGAATAATACAATAAAGATTTAGAACCATTAAATATTTTAAGCATTGATTGTTTTGTCCCCTCCCTGAATATTAATTAATGGCCATATTCAAGGGCACTTGTTTAGTATTTGTCTATGTTTTGAATCTAGTTATTAATAGGCAATGAAAACCGTTCCTAATTGCTTCAGAACCTTGTCAAAATTAGAGTGATGTTTAAGACACTAAGCCCACCAGCGGCCGAGCAGTATAAAGTCGCTAAACACTGGTAGTTCGACCTGGGTTTGATTCCAGGCGAATGAGCTGGTTGAATGGTTCCGTAGTTTTCTTCACATGTAACGTGGATACGAGCCAGTTTTCCTTAGAAAGCTCTTCACGAAGGCATCCCTGAACTTAAGCACAAAGCCCTCTCGTGCTTTGCCGTAATAAAATAAGTCTTTACAGATACTGAGGAAAAGTGGGAGGGGAAAGCAACTCTTATAGAACTGTCATTGTAAGGTTTTCTTACAATCTTACCCATGATTTATAATCATTTCTCGATTTCATGTCGATTTTTTTTTCTATGTAATTTTTTCGTCTAAGAAATAAACAAATTTGCATTTTCGTGAGAGGATTTGAGAGTGAAATATCGAATTAATGTATGTGTTACGACGTGAAAAGTATATCATTTTAGTATAGAAAATAATGCAAAAAGTACATGATACGGTTTAAATAAAAAGTTGGTCTTTCTTAAACTGTCTAACAAGGTCATCACATACAAGGTCTCACAAAAATAATGTTGGAAGACAAGGCGAAGATGCTATTTTAAGAAATGTGTTTATAGGAAGCAGGTTTGTTAACGCATATTTTTTTGTAGGTACCATATTATGATGTATCCATAATTCCTGTATCCCTTTCTCAAAAGCTCGGTAAAAGTTAACAGCAAACAAACAAAGTTTTCCAGTTAAACAGCAAACAGCTCAGTTATAAATGAATGTCCGCAAAATTTGCCTTTTTTTAACCTTAATGCTATTTTAAATGCTACTTTAATTCACAAGAGCACTTTATTAAAACATATCATTAATTTCTTCTCACACCAGGCCAAGTCTGGTAACATAGCCAGTAGTTCATAAATCAGAGTGACTTTTCAAGGAATTTCTGAAGGTGAACATTGACACAGCAAATCATTTTAAATGCGACAAATTCTCACGGAAAATTTTAAACTGTCGACCTTGAATTTGATTGTACGTAAACCGGAAAACAAAATGGTAAATCTTCCCTCCCCCTTCTCTCTCTCGTTTATTTATTTCAGTAAGAGTTTTTTTGCCATAATAAGTATTCGGAGTTATGATGATAATTACAAAAAGCTAATTTCATAAGCTTCTTGTCCCCCCCTTCCTCTTGGTAAAGATACTGAACAAGGAAAATTCCAAAGCTATACAACAACAGTGCATTTTTTCCCTTAAAAAAAGCTAAACGTGTGAAGAATGCTGTAATTAATTTGAACGATCTGATAATTAATATCCTTGAATACACATCGCATGTGATTCTGCCTGTTTTCGTAAATTATGACATAACTCAAGGTCATATACAACCGAGATGCCAGATACCATTAGCAACTGTGGCAGTTAACTGCAATAATTATTTTGCTAACTTTATAAAGTATTTTGCGTTGTTCAGTATGCACTAGTAAATACGATGCAAGAATATCGATATCTATATACAATGAAAATTTGTTTCTTTTTTCTGTTTTCGGTCTCAAATGAACCAGGAAAACGAAATACGTTTTCGAAGCATATTAATTAACTTTTATGGAGTTTTTCCTCTGATGCATTCTGAATTGGAATGTCAGTAAAAGAAGATTAATTTTTATATTTTTATTTCTTGTATATTTTTCCCCTTTTGCATTTTTATTTTTACTTTTAACTTTCGATGTTCTAAGTTTATTTTACTTCAATTCTGCTGCTAGAGCGCAGGACGGGTATAAAAAAAAGTTGTTTTTAATTTTGCCTCTTATTTTTTTATATATTTATCTCTTTCTATATATATGTGTGTGTGTGTGTATACAAATGCAAAATAAGTAAAAAAAATTCTTTTAAAATTCGTCCTGTATTCATTTCGAAATAAATCACATGAAAGAAAAAAAAAAAAAAAAAAAAACAGAAGGAACGTGACAAACTGCAAGAAATAGGGGGCAAAATATGCCAA